AGATGTGGAGATTATTCTAGATTATCTTGGTGTTTGCAATGTAATACAAGGGTCTTTATAAGTGTGAGAAGCAGAATGAGACACCCACAGGAATGGCAGCATGAGACGGACTCAGTCAATACACTGTTGCTGCTTTTAAAGATGGATGAAAAGGGCCACAAGCCAAGGAATGTTCCAGAAATGAGCAAAAACAAAGAAACAGACTTTCTCCTAAAATCTCCAGAAGGAACACAGCCTGTGGACACCTCGATTTTAGCCCACGGAAGTTGATGTCGGACCTGTGACCTCAAGAACTGTAAGATAATAACTTTGTGTTGTTTTGAGCCTCTAAGCTCATGGTAGTTTGTTACAGCAGCAAGTGGAGGCTACTCCAGTGTATTTCAGCATCACAGAGTCCACGTCAGAGTCCTTCCTACCAATCTCGGGAAGCACAAAGGATTTCAACTGGCTGTCGTAAACAGTATTCTGTAGATGGCAAAGCTAAGCTACAGGAAGAAACACCAAGGAAGAAAAACTAAATTCCATCCATTGTCAAGCCTAATGATGAACTCGTTCAGACCCCCAACTTCACCTCAACCAGTTATTAGTGTATGGAGGTGGACATTATGAATTTGCATTTAATAAATCATTTGAATTTCTGAGCCTTGGAGTGACAGGAATTCAGCCAAGAACTTTGATACTGACACTTGTAATCAAGCTGCAGGTTTTACTCAGTTTACCAAAGAAAGCCTTAATTTGTATATGATCGGCAGGCCCACAGCCTGCCTCCTTCTCATCACTTCTAACAGATGCAGAGCAGAACCCAAGGGACAGTGACTCCTCCAAAGTGAATGCAGCATCTGCGGATGCAGGTTCTGCTAAAGGGTGCGAACCAGCTAGGACCAAATACAAGAGGATCCCTGCAAAGGCACACACCTTTTTGGGACAGCAGTAAGGCCTGGAGTGTGGGCTTTCAAAGGGTGGGGGTATGGTGGGGGTGGGAATAGTGTAGGAAGTTCCAGAACATTCTACAGCAAATTCCAATTCATCACGGAATTGGAATCCCTGAAAACTGGGGATTAGCATATGAATGAGACAGAATACATGCGTTGCCAGTTGACAAAGTGGCAGAATAGAATACCATAGCCCTTAGTAGGAAAATGGTTCCAAATGTAATTTAATCTCATTGGCAATTTGGAAGCCACCTCAGGCTGCTGCAATGTTTTCTCTCTACTGCAATGAATATTGATTATCAGGGTACGGTATTGCAGAAAACAACTTAGGAAATTTGAGATCTCCATTTGCAGGCTTCTTAAAAACTCTGAGTATATGTGTTTATTAAGGAATCTGTATCTTTCCAGCTATGACCTGGAAACTTACCGTGGGCCTGTGAGTGGACTGAGCTGCTTCACAGAGAAGAAAATGCCTTGTTAGGCTGAATGCTCCTTCGGTTTTATGGTCACTTTTGACATTCCGCATCGGATACCGAAGAAGTCAGCAAGGGCTCAGAGAGTGCTTGCTGGCACCTCCCGCACATTCTCTGCAATGGTCCCAATATCCCTTGCAAGCTGGATTCCACAGCACAGTGGAATCTATTTTCCTCCCTATACTATTGATTCCCAGTACCAGCTACTACTTAGTAGGTGCTTCACCCCAGGTGCGGAATGTGTGCCCACGTGGTTGGGAGGGTTCTCCCAGCTTAGGGGTCAACATCTCCATCAACGTGCGGCAGGTGGTTAGGCAGGCTTGAGCAGAGCAAGGAGGATGGGTCAGCTACAGAAGGTCACCAAGGCAGAAAGCCCCAGGTGTCTAGCAATGGGCAAAATTGGGCAAACAAGGACCTCACCCCCGGGATAACCTTTCCTTTGCCTAGCACATTGATGGTCATATGGTTTAGATCCCTTGAACTTTCATATAACTGGTTGTGCAGTTTAGACACCCTGACCTTTCATATCATAGCTGGTCATTAGGTTCAGACCCTCCCCTGACCTTTCTTCCCCTGGCATGTCACCAGTCATGTGGTAGACCCCTTAAAAAGAGGAACAAGGGGCCAAAGAGTAGCCTCGCATGACCCTCACATAGGCCCTTCATGACCCCTCCCTTAAGCATTAACCTCTAGGGATCATATCTAGGCTGCAGCTGTGTTTTAGCTCCAGGCCCGGAAAAGCAGCAAAATCAGACAAGCGATGCCATGACTGACATCAGAACCAGCTGCGCTGATTAATGACCCCTGCCTTGGTGCCAACCAATCAGTAGAAATCATGACCTTGAAAGGACACACCTTGGAAAGCTGATGAATATTCTACTGAGACTCTCCCCTGAGACGTCCAGATGAATACCCTCAATCCAGAGGATCCAGTGCAGCTGTCTAGGGATCTTGCCTGGGCCTTTCCCCACCCCTTCTCCTGAGGGTGTTTTACTTGCTGCTCTCCTTCTCCTGAGCTCCAAGAGCCCTTCTTTTGCCTCTGCAACTTGATTCCTGGGCCCATTTTCTCTAAGGCTCACTTCTACCTCTGTGACTTTCTAAATCAACTTTCTCTTAGAGTTTGAGTCTTGGCCCTGAATTCTTTCTTAGCCAGAACTCAAGTACTGTGGTTGCTGAACTGATTAAGAAAAATTAAGCAACGATTAAGAAAAATCAGAAAAATGCACCAATATGGGGCACCCTCCCTCACTTTGGGAGAACATGTGGAAACACAATTAGGTAGGGGGCATCAAGAACTGTAGAAATAGCCCTGGCTGGTATAGTTCAGTGGGTTGAGTGCGGGCTGTGAACCAAAGGGTCACAGGTTTGATTCCCAGTTAGGGCACATGCCTGGGTTGCAGGCCAGGTTCCCCGTGAGATGCAACCACACATTGATGTCTCTCTCTCTCTTTCTCCCTCCCTTCCCCTCTCTAAAAAAATAAATAAAAAATAAATCTTTAAAAAAAAATTTAAAAAAGAACTGTAGAAATAAATGCTCATTCCCTTTGGCCCAATAATTGTACTTCTGGGAATTTATTCTAAGGGAATAATCCTAAATATAGAAAAAGTTTCATGCACAAAATTATCTGTTACTTTATTTTTAAAAGTTCCAATATTATGTGTAATAATAAAAACTGGAACAACCTAAATATCAACAATAGGGGAAAATCAAGTATATTAAAGTGTATGACTATAATGCAGCCTTTAAAATATCTCTATTACAAGTTTTTATAACATGAAAAATGCTTGTGTTGCTAAGTGAAATGGTAAGGCACAAAATTCTGTATACACTATGAAATTGGCATTTTTAAATGCATGGAACTAGGACTAGGAAGATATTTGAGAAAATAATTAGTGCTTCTCTTTGTGGGATTATGGAGAATTTTTCCTTTATGTTTTCCTATACTGCCCATGTTTTTACAGTAGACATTATATTTTTCATGCATTTATCCCTGGAGGAGGAGAGAAATCCTTTGTTTTTGTTTAAGATCCCTGTCTCCGAGGGGCTAATTTAACACAACTCGCCACTGGTGGCCCAAGCAGAAAGGAGGGAACCAGTGGCCAATCTTGGAGTGTTTCCTAATACAGGGAGGTCACTTGGATCCCTGAACTGTGTGCGGTTGTCACTCCAACTGCCCATGTGGGTTCAGTCCCACTGGCCCAAGAGCAGACCCCAGGCCTTAGCCACCTGGCTCAATAACAAGTCAGTGTCGTGGGTCTCTTTCTGCCTCTGCCCTTAGTTTCTATGAGCAGGTCACCTTGGTCCTTGGAAAGCAAGTGCCACACATCCACTCTCATCCTCACCAACAGCTGAATCCTTTCTGTCTCCTCACTTACATCCTGCTTCCACCCTTCCAGAGCCTTTTTCCGGCCCCTCCCACCACCCCCATTATCCCAGGGGCTGGAGCCCTAGCTCTGAACCCAGATGTCCTGGGATGAGTGCTGGCTTCTGTGATGAGCCCCCCAGGAAGCCGGATGCCCACTCTCCCAGACCTGCTGTCTACTGCCAGATGCTTCCTATGCGTCTACTCGCCTGCCAAGATGGCGAGCGACCGTCTGCCAACCCTCCCGGTGCCGCACGCCCACCTGGTCCTCCTGATCGCCTGCAGCCGACGCTCTCCTGATCCTCTCCCTGTCTTGGTCTCCTTAGTTTTACCTCTGGGTCCCACTCACTGCTGATGAGTTGTCATTGCCATGACCATAGCTTCTTAAGTTCCTTTTCCACCCTTCCTCTTGGGTCACACAAGGAAAGTGTGGCCAACACCAGGGCCCCTTCTCCTGTCCTGTTCAGAAAATTTACTCTCGGTGAATGACTTCGGGAAATAAGTGGAGTGCCTCACACTGAAATGATGGAGCCCTTGATTTCTGCATTTGTGTCTTTGACTAGATAGACCCTAGACTAGAGATCCCTCTTTTTACTTGAGTCTAATAGTTGTAAATGAATGATGGCGATGATGATGAGTTCTTCTAATGGCTGGTGCTGTGCTAAATATTGAACATGGAGAGTCACAACTAATCTTAAAATAAATCCCTGATATGGGCGGGCACTGTGGGCAGTTCCATTTTACAGATGAGAACACTGAAGCTCACTTAGGTGATCGAGGTCAACGTCACAGAGGTGGTCACTGAAAGAGGCAAGATTTGAACCCAGTGACAGTTTGATCATTAAATATCACTGCAGGAGATGTAACACCAAAGGCAAGTCATTGCAATGAATGAGTGGACAGGCCATTGTGAGCACGACCAACTGAAGACCGCATGTCCATCTACAGGGTGGAAGTTATCACTAAGCCTTGGGTGACTTATGCGAGGCAAGAATGGGGGTCCAGCCTTGTCAGACCTCCTGAGTTTTCAAGAGATCTAAACAATCTGCATTTTCCTGTGCAGTCTCCCTGTTTAGTAACGTGGGTTCCACATTCTCAAAAACACTGGGCAGGCCAAGTCCATGCACAGATGGACCCCCAGTTTGCAACCTTTGCACTAAGCTGTGCTATGCACCTCCCGATTCTTACCGTGACCCGCACGCTTCTCTTTGGGAAGGGCTGGGGCTACGTACCTGCACAATCTCTAGCATTTCTGCCTTGCTGATGTAGCCGTTTCCATCCAGGTCATACATGCTGAAAGCCCATTTCAGCTTCTGCTCCAGCTTGCCCCTCGACGTCACACTCAGGGCTATGATGAATTCTCTAAAGTCTATCGTCCCATCGCCATTGGCATCGAAGGTACGGAAGACGTGCTCTGCAAATTTGGAAGCATCCCCGTAAGGGAAAAAGTTCCCGTAAATTTTCTTAAACTCTTCCATTGACAAATGTCCGCTGGGGCAGTCTCTCAAGAAGCCTTTATACCATTCCTGGATCTCATGTTCAGTAAAGTCTGTGCTTTCCAGCAAGTCCTGCATGACCTCTGGGCGCAACTTGCTGTTCTGTTTTCCCATCCTGGCAGCAAGAATTCAGCTGCAGATAGAAAAGAATGTATATAATTTTTAGACTTGTTCTGAAGAGGCACATTTTATAATCTGCACTTGTTCCTTTGGGAAAAAGAAATGAAGTCTATTTTAGTTCAATAATATTGTCTTGGTTTTCCAAAACTGTAGTCAGTCAAAAAAATGACTGAAAGACAAGATGGCAAATGATACAGAGCAGAAATATCACTGAAAGAGACAGAATGCTAGAGAGAGAGAGAATGTGAGCGGGAGAGAGAGAACTGGCTCCTTAGTTCTGCCTTATCTATTTGCAAGAGGTCATGCCTGGCTTTAAGAACACAGGTTCTAACACTCTGTCCAACTTTGAGAAGGGGAATTAAAGGAGAGAAAGAGAGAAAATCTTTACAAGTAAAGTGCTACTTGGGTACCTGCTGAACATTACAAACAGACATGAGTAAGGAAAATAGAAACCTATCTAATGCCATTAAAGTTACCATGCTAGGTCAGTCATTTGAATTCACAAAGTCAGGTTGCTGTCAGCATAGGGTTTAGATGGAAAAGATGATGCTTCATCAAGTTGTTCATGTCTTACTATAGGGGCTTACGGAATAGGCCAAACTTTCCTTCTTCAAATACAGATTGCTTCATATTTTCTTACTCTAATAGCACACATCCATAGCAAGACAGCAGGACAGCACAGCGGTGCGTGAAGGAAAAGGTCAGAGTCACTTCACATCTCAACACTTAGCGATAACCACTGCCGGCATTTGGGGGTGTGTCCTTCCGTGCTGTTGAACACACACTTATCTAAATACGCTATTAATATGTTTTAATGCATTTACATTAAAAACAAGACTATATGTATATTATCCCTTTATATATTTTGTAAACTTAAGACAGTGTGAAGAATAAAGACAACTTTTATGAGATGGGAAAACACCAGTAGTTACGGTCTTCGCCTTCACACAGCCATTCAACATGTATTGAGGGCCATATACCAGACACATTTCTGGTGCTGTGGATGCAAAGGAAAGTAAGACATGTCCCCTCCTCTGGAAGATGCACCCAGGTGTGTGTGTACAGGGATGGCGGGGGCAGGGAGGGGACGATGTAAGAGACAGGGATGGGTGTGGTGCGGAGAAAGCACACAGAAGAGACACTCAAGCCACATGGGGGCAGTCAGGGAAGCTTTCTTAGGGGAGGTATTATCTGAGCTTAGTTCCCATTTCCAAAGTTTTATAATCGAAGCATGGTCACGGTAAACCCTTTCTTATAAAGAGGCTCTGTATTTATATTTTGCATTTTTCTTATATTAGGAAAAAACCTGAAAGTAACACCTGGAAAGTTATAGAATATATAAAACACAACACATCTCCATTTTAATTATGATTTTCCATTTCCTTTAAGATTTTATGGGTTTTTTTGTACTTATTTGTTTATGTCTGTCTCATTCCCACTGCACAGTTTGCCCCTTGAGACAGAACCTCCACTAGGGTTAGTCTCTCTTAGGCCCACGACAGATAACATTTGGTGATTTAATGAAGGAGGGATACATAATTACAACATGGAAATGTGGAATAATCTCTTTGGAAAAGGCATTTTTTATGATAAAAGGGTGATGTCCTGGCATTCACAATGCTATCTGGCACACTAAAGATATCCAGTAGTTAAATACAAATGGCATATTTCACAGAACTAGAATAATCCAAAAATTTACATGGAACCACAAAAAAACCCAAACAGTCACAGCAATCCTGAGAAGAAGACAAAGTCACAGGTATCATGCTACCTGATATCAAACTATACTACAAGGCCAGAGTAATCAAAACAGCATGGCAATGGCATAAAAGCAGACACACAGATCAATGGAACAGAATAGAAAGCCCAGAAATAAACCCACACCTCTATGATTAGTTGATATTTGACAAAGGAGCCAAGAACATACAATGGAGTAAAAACAGTCCATTCAGTAAACGGTGCTGGGAAAATTGGACAAGTATATGCAAAAAGAAAGGAAGGAAGGAAGGAACAAATGAACAAACGAACGAACTAGACCACCTTCTTATACTGTATATAAGAATAAACTCAAAATAGATTAAAGACTTCAATGTAAGACTCAAAACAATAAAACTCCTAGAAGAAAATATAGGCAGTGAAATCTCAGACATTTCTCGTAACAACATTTTTTTCTGATGTATCTCCTGGAGCAAGGGAAATAAGAGGGAAATAAACAAATGGGACTATATCAAACTAAAAAGGGTTTGCACAGCCAAGGAAACCATCGATAAAAAAAGACAAGATACTGACTGGAAGAAGATACTCACCAATGATACATCTGACAAAGGGTTGACATCCAGAATCTATACAGAACTCACACTACTCAACGCACACAAATACACACACAAAAGAGCAATCCAGTTAAAAGATGAGCAGAGGACCTGAGTAGACATTTCTCTAAAGAGGACATGCGGATGGTCAACAGGCACATGAAAACATGCTCAGTGTCACTAATTGTCAGAGGAATGCACATTAAAACCACAATGAGGCATCACCTCACACCTGTCAAAATCGCTGATCAGTAAACCCACAAATGACAGATGCTGGTGAGGATGTGGAGTAAAGGGAACCCCACTGATGGGAGTGCAGACTGGTGCAGCCACTATGAAAGACGATACGGTAGTTCCTCAAACATTAAAAATGGGACTGCCTTATAACCCAGCAATTCCACTTCTGGGTGTATATGCAAAGAAATCCAGAACAGTGATTCAGAAGAATATATGCAGCGCTGTGTTCCTTACAGCGCTATTTACAACCACCGAGGTGTGGAAGCCACCCAAGTGCCCATCCATAGACAAGCAGATAGAAAAGCGGTGGTACGTATGTAAAGTGGAATGTTACTCAGCCACAAGAAAGCATGAAATGTTAGCATTTGTGACAGCATGCGTGGAAGGAGAAGGTACCATGCTCAGTGAAATAAGTCAGTCAGAGAAAGACAAATACCATACAATTTTACTTATATGTGGAATCTAAGGATCAAAATAAATAAACAAACAAAGTTGAAACAGACTCAGAGAGCAGAAGGATGGTTGCTAGAGGGGAGGAGGAGTTGGGGAACTGGGTGAAATAGTGCCGGGATTAAGAAGTACAAATTCATCTTACAAAATAGTCACAAAGTTGAAAAGTACAGCATAAGGGAATGTGGTTAATAATACTGTGATAACTATGTCTGGTGCCAGGTGCGCGCTGGAAATACCGGGGCTGGGGGACACTTCGTCAAGTATAGCATTGCCTGCATACCCATCTGTTGCTCTCACTAAAAATAAATTTCTAGAGGGCAGCATTTGCATTTCACACTGCTCAAACTTCTTTCGTAATATCCACAGCCCAGGAAATGGCAAGCAATCCTCAGTAACTGCCCAGGTGACTGATTTTGTGTTCGGAGTTCTGCACTGCAGACAGACCCGGCCCCTCCTGCTCCCAGGCCAGCTTCTCCCAGCGGCAGGGAGAAGGGAGCTCCCTTCCCATTAGCAGGACCAACAGCTGCAGGAAGGAGATTCCATTTGGGGGTCCGTCTTTATGCGGAAACAGGCAAACATCATGTTATACAAGCACACAACTCAACTCCAAATGGCGCACAGACAGAATTTATAATGTGAACCTTCCAATAACTTTCACTCCCCTCTTGTGTTCTTTTCTTTCCGAAGAAATAAAAGCCAAGTTAGAGAGGCTGGTTTTTATTAGAATTTTCAAACTGTCATTTAGTTGCTAAGTTGGCAATTTGCCTGAGGCAGGAATTCAGAAACATGAGGTAATACATAATACATGGGCTTACAGAGCTCTGAAACATTTGCTGGAATTTACAAGTAATTTTGTTTTCCTTTCGGGAGGGCGAGTTCTTTGGAATATAGCTCTCTGGTGTAGTGTTCAATCAAATCACCATTATTACACTTTTTATTATACTCTGGTTCTGTGCAAATCACTGTGCGTCTGGCCTTGGGGGAAAACGCCATTTCAATATTTAAATCCACTCTCTTAAAGAATGATTCATTTCCCTAAATGTACAAAACACAGTTTCTTCAAAACTAAACTTAAGCTCCTTTCCCAACGTTTAAAAAGCACTTCTCCTTTATTAGCTGTCTTTGCACTAGAAACAAACGGCCTCAGCATCTTGGCCGAGTCTCCCAAAGAGACTGGTTGGTGCACCGCCCTTTCCCACTGAACAGTAATTAAACCACATGTGCAAGTTCATTAGCACAGAAAGGCCATCACACAAACAAGACAGAAGAGCATGCAGTAAGTTCTTTGGGATACGGGTGTCTGCAATTCAGTCCTGCGTTCGTTTCAGCAGATAATTACACATTCTTTGCATGATATCTGAACTTGTGAAAACCATCTGGGCTTCGTTAGACTGGATGGCAAAAGTATCCGGGGACATATGATAGAGTTTCACTCCCAGGTGGGGGGCTTGGAGGAGACAGAGGCATGCCTGACAATACCTTTTTCTTTTGAAAGGCAGGAATTGCTGCCTGTTTGAGTTGAAGACAGGGGGAAAATATAATGCCAGGGAAATGCCACATTAATTAGCAGTAAAAAAAAAAGTAGTCTGGAGACAAAAGCTGCACCTCAGGTAAAATCTTTTTCATTTGCTCCATTCAGTCGTTAAAACACGTATCTTGTGCCAGCAGAGCATAATGGGGAGAATCTCAGGCCACCTGATAAAACTGCTCGGGTCCAGACTGGCTCTGCTGTTGCCTAGCTCTTGGGTGATTCACTCACCTTCTTGGTGCACCTCAGTTTCCTCATCTTTAAAACGAATTCGGTAGTCTGAATTCATCCCTCACGGATGTGATGTGTGAGTTAAACAAGACAGTCTTGTACGTAAAGCTGCAGCATTGAGTCAGGGCCAGACATGAAAAACAAAAACCACGTCTTCGCCTTGACGGCCTTTCATACATTATTCTACCGAAGCTTCCCAGCAATCCTGTGTGAGAGGCAGGAAGACATTCTCTACTTTATAAGCAAAGAAATGAA